GAGAGTACGGGACCAACCCATTGCTCCTACAACCATTGGCGAGGCCTTCCCGGCCATCGACCTCCAACCCTAGGCGGCTCGGGCCAGGGAGCTCACTGTAACACCCCAGTGTTACGATCTCGTTTAACACCGCGATTCTACCCTAAGAAAAATTATCAAAACGACTTTTTTTGGATTTTAAAATTTAAAAACCAGCTTTTCGCGCCATCGGTGAAAATTTGGAAGGTATATTTTAAAGCATGGTTTGTGGTGATTTGTTTTGCGTAAAATAAACACATAACACTTTAAATATTTTGTTCCATGGCTTGGTACTAGTATGAGCTATCGCGTACGCTATTTTTTTTGTGAGCGGCGGTGCGCCAGGTCCTTTCTCTTTTCCCCACTCTATCTCGTGCGCCTACTTTTCAATGGCTCTTGCCTTGTCTCTTTGCCTGCCTTGCGCGGTCTCATCCTCGCCTGTTCTCGACGTCGTCGCGTTGCCGGCCGAGTCGCTGTTGCAGTTGACCGCACGTAGGAGCACCTTTATGGAGCTATCCGCGCCAACCGATGTGCCCTGCCCTCGTGCGCATGTCTGCCTCTGTCTCCGATTTCTTTTCTGAGCCAAGCAGCAACTTTGGCTACGTCCGCCGTCGTCGGTTTCCCTAGCACTGCTCATTGCTGCTGCTGCTGCCGTGTACTACTTTTTACCTGCCTCTGTTGTCTCGTCAAGCCTTGTCGTGCTGCCTCTGTTGCCTGTCTCGGTGTTGGCTCTGTATGCCTTGTATCCTCTGCATCTGCCAAGCTGAGCCAGACTAGCCTCCCACTCTCTCCACGGTGCTGCCTCCCTCCCTGCTTCCTCCTCCGTGTTCTGGAGCCGCCCATCCGAGCAACTAGCCAGGGCTGCGCCACCGTTGCCCTGCCTCCACCGCGCGCTGCTCTTTCGAGCAGGCCGCCTGCTGCACGGAGCCGCCCAGCCGGCGCCGTAGCTCCACGCCGCGCCTGGAGCGCAGTCCCACGCCTGGAATGCCGCACCGCGCGCGAGCGCCATCCTTTTTCCTTCCCCGCTTCGGACCGGTTGCAGCCGCATGTCTCACCACAGCCGCCCCGTCGCTCGGCTTTCCCACTCGCGCACGTCCTCGGTCCATGCCGCGTCTCCACCATGGCCACGCCCGTCGGGGCCGGCCCGTGCCGGTGCCGTGCCGTAGCGGCACGCTGCCCGCGCGTGCCCTCGGTCCGCTGCTGCCGCGCCCATGTGCCGCAGCACCCGCCTGGGCCGGGTGGCCGCGCCGTTCCACGCCGCAGCCACCGAAGCACCTCACGCCGCCGGAAGTTCTCACTCCCGCTGCTCCAGGAGCCCTTCTGCCGGACTGCAGCAGCCGCCGGTCGCCATGCCCTCCCTTGGTGCTCTGTTTTTGTGAGAAGAAAAGGTGAGGAAGGGTGAGAAATCCAAGAAAAATAATTATACAGGGTTTTATTTGCGAAATACGCGACTTGAATGAATAGTACCTGCTGGACTGCGTTTTAGTTTCAAGGTAGTACAAGGGTCATTTCGCATTTATGCCGCGCCACCTGCCCATGCTGGGCTGACCTGTGGTCACCCGGCTGGGCCGCTGCTGGCGCTTGGGCCGCGCGCTGTGCGCTGGGCCGCCGCGCCGCTGGGCCGCTCGCGCCAGCGCGCGCGCCGTGGGCCGAACCGCTGCTGGGACGGCCACCGCGCCTGTGCCGCGTGTGCGCGGACCACTGTCTTGGGCCGCTGGGCTGAGTAGGTGATTGCTGGCCTCTTTATTTTTCTTAAGAAATTTCTAAATTCGCTTATAAGGCAAAACTGTAAAATCAATATAAATCTGTGTAGTGATCCAAAAATTATGAAACTAATTTTATTAGGTTTATAAAATCAGGATCTACTTATTAGTATAAATTGTTCACCTAGTTTTAAGATGGTTCTAGGGTTGCTCTAATTGATTTAGAATGCTTAATATTATGAAAATGTAAACTTGTAGGAATTGTTATGGTAAATTAGTAATAGGGTTGAATCTAAAATTTGTACAGTAGATACTTGGCAATATTAGGTACCCACCGTAAATTTTGTAGCTCTAGAATAGTTGATTGCTAGATAGATAATGATGCCCTATTTTGAATAATGGTTAAATCGATATGATAAAATAAAGAAACACCTTGGGTTATATAACTAAACTAATCGTTGGGAAATAACGCCTTATCCGACAACGTGTATATGTAGCCTAAGTACGGTCGTCGTCAGAACTAGCCGTTAACTCGAGAGGCGTATGTCGTATTTTATGAGTCATGATTGCAGTTGATTAATTACATCCTTGCATTGCATCGCATGCATGTCATATAGGTACGATGATGGATCAGCGGACCGATCGAAGGATGATTGTGAATCCAAAGATGGTGTAAGGGTATTCTCTCTAGGAGCTGATGCAATGGGCTTTCTATCCAGTTGATGGTGGATGATCTGAAGATGCAGATACTAACTTTTTAATATATCTTACCCAGGCAAGCCCCGGTGCATAACCCCTACTTTTCTGCAGTTTAAATTATATTTGTGCATTAAGTTTTAAGGAGTTGACTAGAACCCACTTGCATATACATATTTTTATCCTATGAGTCTTTCTAGTATGACAGGATCGTGTAGATTGCTATGCTACAGGACTCCGGTAGAAGTCGAGTGATTGCTTGTCACTCGCGAGATATAGGAAATATATTACTATATGATTATCACTTGGAATATATAAAATGGTGGAAAGGAAAAATGATGACCGGGCATGGATATGGTTTGGGTATTGGTGGGTGTAAGAGGTTGTGTCGTCGTGGACATGGGGCATAGCTTGGTTACACTGTTTTCCCTGTTTGGTCGGTTAAGGACCGGTCGTTGCATAAGGCTCTAGGCAAGTCATAGACTTATTATCCCGAGCACATACTTAGGTATGGGCGCTTGGAAGACTTGTTGCTCTCTTGTCGCGGATCCAGCCCTTTCCGGACCGACTGTTAGGGTTTTATTTTGGTGGAGGAGGTCCTTGCACCGCACTGAGTCCGGGACTCAGGGGCGGGGGCTTGGAGTCCCAGTTTGTATGGGGACCTAGACACCCGGGACAGGAGAGTGATGGGTTGGTCCTGCTTGTGCCTAGGGTACAAGCGGGGCGTGTGTTTTCGGGGTACCCAGCTGGGGGCATTGATTCGTGAATCGCCGGGCAATCCGGTACGGCTTGTCTCGTGTTTAGCATCGTAGTAAGAACTGAAAGATGAAAAATAGAAGATGGACAAAGGAAATCTGATTGCTTACCACCTGCTTGAAAGTAGCACAGGTGCTTACGTAGAATGGTTAGTTAATGAACCAATGCGGCTATTAATAAAAATCGAATATAAGGACGCACGCTTAGTAATGCTTCCTGCAATGCAATAAACCCACAAGCCAGATAGCCTTGCATATCCTTGGAGTCTTTTCTTTTCTCCTATCGGGTAAGTCTTGCTGAGTACAATTGAGTACTCAAGGTTTTATTCCCCCAGTTGCAGGTGACAGGTGGAGGTTAAAGCTGATCTTTGTGTGTGGATTCCTCCTGGTGGGCTCAGAGAGGATTTCCTTTACGCTGCGATCGTAGTTGTTATTTATAACTTTCATCAAATGCTTTTATAAATAAAAGTTTCATAATCTGTTGTCGTAGTTTATATATCAATACTTCATCATGTCATGATTAGATATTCATTTCCGTTGTACTTCTGATCACAGGTTTATATTTCGTTGTTCAATTAAATTGTTCATAACTCTGATAATATGATTTCATTCCGCTGTTATAATACTAAATATTATACTCTGATGTTGTATTAAAAGTGATGTAAGAAATGGCTAAGAATGATGTAAGCTTTATTCTCTCTTTTGAGATCCTGATGGTAAAAATGTGGATTTTCGGGTTCTCCCCTAGGGTGTGCCCGACGGAACCGAGTAACTTAGTGTCCTCCTTTGGGTGCTTAGTGTATAATGGAAGACAAGCACTCCTGAGAGGCATTAGATTAGACGGTTCTGCCACACTCACGGAGACACGACAGGAGAAAGGTGACCACGGCTGGAGCTCTAGCGGCCGGGGACGAGAGGGCAGGGTGATGTGATAGAGAGAGCGAAAAAACTTTGGAATCTAAACAAGCCCTTTGCCTACTCCAGCGTCGAGCCAAGAGAAGCAGAGTGATGTGGTCCTGCATGTCCTGTGAACTGACGCTGTGATCCAGACAGGCGGCACCAGAAAAGCAGAGACCATGCAGACGCATAGCTTTCCTTCAAAAGAGGGCTAGGGGGAATGCATTTCCATGTTGAACATCCGAATCCCAAAGGGGCCTCCCGTTCTCATCTCGTTTCAGGTGCCAGCAAACTTTCGGTAGATCCTTTTGCCTGTGTAAATACTAACCAGTTAAAAAAAAAATCAGCCAGCTGAACAATTATGAGCGAATTTGGGGTTCTTGGGGAAGAAACGGTAAAATTCCAGGGTCCATCACTGGAGATTCCATGGACAAAAAAACATGTGAGAATGCAGTGTTGCTGTTACAGCTACAGCTGCAACACGAGACTACAATCGACCACTTGTCCAGTTTCATCCAGTTCTTTCCTTTCATCGGATTATTATATTAACACGATGACGCTGCCATGGCAGCAGTCCTTGCTCCCAACAGCTTGGGCAGAGATGGACGCTATCAAGACCCCAAATTGACAACGATGGTTGCCAAGTTGACACGAGATGAAAATTCATCAATACTTTATTGAGCAAGCGGTTGAGAGCTCCCCAGCCCGAGAACAACCATGTCGTCGTCTACTCCAGCTGATCCAGCTGAAGATCCTGCCTGAGCAAGTGAGCAGAGGGCCGGACTGATGAACGGAAACCAACTATTCATGGACATTCATGTTTGGTCACCTTGTTCGAGGTAGGATAACGATTATATGGCTACCAATCAGCCATTCTTCGGATACCAAAAATGCTATTTTCACTTGGGCTGCAAAAAACTGAAAACATCAATTATTGATATACAGCCTTGGATTTAGCATATGTGCACATGTGAGCTCGTGTTCCATGGCCTGTCCTATTAACAGTCAAAACAGCAATCCTTGCTGGCAGGAACTTGAAACCGACCACAATGATTAAGTGATCCACATCAGTGGAACCAATCACCTGTGCACAGGTGATGAATTACGCAAAATTACAACTGCAAGGAAATAAAATCATCACCAGATGACATGAGGTAAATCGCTGACAAAAACTATTCCTCTGGAGCTGTATGTCAATCAATTGACAAAAAACATATAGTTTGTGTGACAGTGAGAAATTTTGGGCAAATGATAGAGAAAATAGTCAAATATTCTCATGCAAAACAGGAACATCACTAACACAAAAGAGCGATATCAGAAGTCGATTGTGATGGGCAGATTCATAGGTTATACTCCCATTAGCAATGGTATAGGTAAATGCAAAATTTTATGTCAATTGCTTCGACTCTACAAAGAAATTACAGGAGAAAACAACCAATTTGATGGTTGCAAAACTGAGATATAAACATATGCTGATATGCTCACACCTCCCCACTACCATTCCACTAAGGCAGCAAAAGCTGTTCAGACTCAAACTAAACAAGAAAGGAAAACAGTGGCTTCTATATCCAAACGTGCTCCCTGCGGTACTCTCTTACAATGACTGGTACACTAGTAGGTGGGAGCTGCGAGAGCAAAAAAAAGTCATCAATTCAATGGACCAAATGGCAGAGTTCAATTGAAATATTGCAAAATATGAAAGATATTTTATAACTGGCTCTGTGATAAGACATCGAAACCTAATTAATGAGTCAGAAAGGTTATGGCCTTATGAGGGAAAAGGCATCCAAACACACAAGAAATAGGCAGCCTTTTACAAGGGAACAGAGAAAAGAGAAACAACCTGTGCTTGCTAAATAGACTGCTAATGCTTTTATAATGGGGGAACACCGATTAATGAAAGTAACTAGATACAAATCGTTCTCCACATCATAGTCTTGTTATCATTCATGCAGTATGAAGCCACACATCACTAAGCACAATAGTCCTTCTATGGTCCTGTTTGGATCCATTAGCTGCTAATAGTTAGCTAGCTAATAGCTCATAGCTAATATTAGCTAGTTACTCCCTTCATTCCAAATTATGGATCACTCCAACTTATTTGGACAGCCAAAGCATCTCAAGTTTAACCAAAATTATAGAGAGGACTACACAGATTTATGACATCAAATAGGTATATTATGAAAATATAAATGAAGAATCTAATGATACTTATTTGGTATCACAAATATTATTATTTTATTATATAAATTCGGTCAAGATACTTTGACTCTCCAAGAAAGTTGGACTTATAATTTGGGATGAAGGGAGTAACTATTAGCTGGTTTGCCTCAACTAGTGAGATAGTTGTTAGTTGGTATTCAGCTTGGGCCCGTTCAAAGGAGCTAATTATTAGCAACTAACTATTAGCTTTATGGATGCAAATAGGTCTTATTATATAAATATTTTCAAAATGTAAGGGGAAAACACATTGCCTCACCTCAGCAAGTAAACGTACTGAAACTATAGAAGGGTTGCAACAAGCAGAATATGTGTGTTTGTATGCAGCAGATTAACTGAAACTCAAACATATGATTATATATTTCATAATGGCATGATTTTTAATGTGGGGTTCATAGTTCATCTATATGATGCACATACCGTACAGCACTAGATAATACTATCAACTAACAACTAATTATTAGCAAGTAAAAACAAACAGTTTGACAATATAACGGGAACGAGGAAGATCTGTTAGGGTATGTGCAATGCAAGTGCACTTAAAGAGATGCTTAAGGTGAGAGAATAAATAAACATCTATGAAACAGCCTTATCTTACAATGATAGATTTGTTTAATAATGCCTAGATAGCTAAGAGCAAGGTGAAGCATTGAAACTGCAATATAGATCATCTATGCCTTAAACATTTTTCACACTAATTTTAAGCGCCTCGGCGCTTTAAGCCGGTGCAAGTGTCGGGGCTTGCCCGAGCGTCTCAGGCTGCATGCAACACCCAGACTTACTTATCCTGACCTCCACCATGGCAAACAGATATGCAACTACAGGTAAGCGCCCAGCATTGTATGCGGCATTAGTGATTTGACTGATATTATGGGGTTGTGTTCCTCATTGCAAAAGCATAGACAAATTGGCAGCTCAAAGCTGTAAAATCAAAGTGGAAATATACCCTTTGTAGTTAACAACATGTTCAGTATATGGTAAAAGAATGTCGCACTTAACTGTTAGAAGCATTAAGCAATTAGAATAAATGTAATATGATTTGCTCGTAATTATAAGCACAAAGAGTCAAGTGAGAAGATGAAGCACGTCTTACCATTCCATAATCTGTTATGAGCATTGAAACATAATCGGAAGGGGTGATATCATACCTGCAGGTGCACGAAAATGATTTGATTAGATGCAAATTAACAAAGGAATCATGAACTATAACACCTGCAGGAAACAATGCACAGACTTAAGACTCAGAAGGTGAAGATTTTCGTTCTCAGCCCAGTTTTTGAGATGGCTCAAACTTTCATCCCTAGGAACTCTTGAAATAGCATCTGGGTCACCTGAGTAGATATCATATCATGTCTTGTGTGGTTCCTTAACAGGAGACTAAACAAATAACTTACAGTAAGAAGAGCAACAATAACATACCAAGTTCATTAAAGCATATAGAATCGAGTTGAACCCTCTCATGAAACTTCTATGCCTCACAGCACGCTAGAACATGAACTCCAAAAGCATGTGCAACCATAGCAACCGAAGCTGTCGCAACCCAGGAGTAGACAGTACCATTTGATAGCACTGAAGAGGCGCCCAAAAACACTCTTGTAACCTCCTGCATGATGTATGATACAGCATTTATGTGTGTATATGTGCAACTGATACCCTTTGCAACTAATCGGCGCAACAATCTTTGTCCCTCATGGTTTGGACGAGAATCTACCACCACAACACGAAACTTCTTTCCAAGTTCATGAGCATGGTCAAAAATCATTTCAACAACAGAGGCTGACCCAAATGTCAATAGGACATCGTCATCTCTGATTTTTGTGACAGCATGACTAACAACGACCTTATCTGCAACTATTATCTTCGCATTTATAATGCGATCAATGTCAGATTGAAGACTAACTTTAGCTTCTGACTCTGACAATGCAAGTGGTAGCTTGGTAATCCTGTTCTTCAAAAATCTAATAGCGTTGCCCATGCTGATTGAAAGAGGCCTGCACTCAATGAGAAATGACACATAGCTACTGATTTTAGCAGTAAGATCCCTATTCAGAATTTTTTCAGCAGGCATGGAGTAATCATTTATTGCGTCTCTGAATGCAAGAAGAATTGCTATACAGCGAGCATTGCCACCCGATATGTCACCAGACAGATACTGAAGTCCACCCTGAAACGTAACACAGGGGACATAAGATACTTGGTGTTCACCATATGACAATAAACCGTTTACCAGATAAGTACCCTCTACTCAAAGACACATGAAAAGAAAAATAAAATTCTGTTTACACCTATCCATTTTATGTGAATTGCCCACAGAATCAGTAATATAACATGAAACAAATCACGATTTTAGTTTGATCAATATAAAAATTATTTTAAAATTTATTTCAAGACAACTAAGCACCTTGGCTAACCCCCCCACCCTTCTCTCTAAAATAAGAATAATGGTAGGTTTCTTTTACAGTACATTGGCAACATGGTAGCTAATAATTACCTTGTACACAGAAGGATGCATTAGATCAGGTTGAAGAAATTTTGACTCAAGGTCAGGAAGTTGAGTGCCATGTGCATATTGAGGCAGATGTCTGAACAGTTCGACCCTGTTTCGAGCTTCTGATTGGCTAACAACTGAACGCTTCTTTGCTTTCACCACCCGATGTGCATCATCAAATTGCATACGGGGTTGAGGAATATCTTTTTTTCTATCTTTGTCAGGTGGACGTTCACCAGTCTTCTTATCAGAAGCAACTGGAGGGTTAACTTGGTTCACAACTTTCTTCAGAGATGTCTTTGCTGTCTTGGGTTGCTTTGATATTTTGGTGCTAGCATCAGAAGCCATGGCTGTTGGTTTTAAACCTGCAATTTTTCACAGAGACATAAAGTTTGTGTCTGCAGACAGGTCAGGTGAGTCACTGTGAATGATGCCAAATGCAAACACAGACACTGCCCTTCCATCTAAAATGAAACTACTCATTCTTTTCTTTCAAGCAAAAGACTTAGTTTCACTTTAGATTTCCTTGATAAGATGGTCTGGGGGTTGAGTGTTCTTACTCACTCCCCTTTTAAAAATATACGCGGGGTTCTTATATTCACCGAGACAATGTCAAGAATGAAAGTAGATCAACTACCTGCCTCCTTGGCAGCAGCTTTGGCAGCACGCTGAGACTCCTGAATGGCATGTCTCTCTGCTTTAGAAAGCTTTGGTTTCTGTGCAACTGAAGTTGGAGCATGTTCATTCTTTGTTTCAGTAAGATCTCGCTTGTTTGGTTCTGAAATAAATAACAGAAGAAAATTGTGCAATAAATAACCACAGAAAAGCAATTCTTCAAATGAATGCTGATAGACATAGTGTGCTGTTTCCAACTTTCCATGCTTTAGAAAGCATGAAAATTGTTAACAAATACTACATGTGAAACCAAGGTGAGTGATCCTACAATGTGAGCCATTTTGCACAATCTGAATTGCACATGAACAGACACAATACGTATATCTAAAACATAACTAATGATTCACAGTATGGCCTTGATAGCTACCAGCAGTGATTTTGCTAATAGCCTAATACAGTCACCATGATTCATGAAAACAGAATCATTGCTGAATCATGCACGCGGAATTGAGTTTCACTACCTATACAACGAATGCATTTTTGACTTTAATGTCCATTCTTAACATGATCCTGGTTTGCCTAATATACTTCTGGTCTGGCCAACAGCGAACAACGACTATGGGTCAGCATGAAGCAACAATCTCTCAGTTGGCTAATAAATTACTGGAGTGTTTGGTTTGCAGAATGGGATGATCCATCATCTTACAATTCCTAACTCTTTTGTTTGGTTTGGGAGTGGAATGGGTTGATGCATCACCACCTACCTGCTCGCACAGATATACCGTATATATACTCCTCCATCTACACGGGGGATTTTGATCAGTGCTTATTTGTGATATGCCTGCTCCCTTGACGGTATTTCCAGCAATACAGCTATGCCTAATTACAAAATTTCACAACTATCTCTAGATAGGACAGAATCCAATTTTCTGACTACTAGGTATATTCAGCTACTAGAGTCATGGAGCAGTCGCGCATGGCTGTGAGCGATAGAAGCCACAGAAAACCTGTATGTAGAGTTGTAGACTGCAAAGCTGAGAAAGCACGTACCTGGCAATGCGGGCGGGGGTGGGCACGCCCAGGACACGTCGATGTCGTCGTCGTCGGCGTAGTCGTCAAGGGAGTTGCTTGCTCACTCCAACTGGTATTGCATGCTCTCGCTGTCGGTTCTCTCCTTCCTGAAAATAGCACACATCATTGTAGAGCAAGGCTCCTGAGCCGCCCATTCCGAACGACGACAACAGTGCTCCGAGTCTCCGACTAGTGGCTTGTTGGGAGTTGCGAAACGAAAGAAATGTGTGGTTGTTTGGCATCCATCCTCAATCGTCAACGGAAATGTTTGTTGTGGAGAAAGATCAAGGAGGAAGGTCAAGCTCAGTGCATAGCAGGTGCTAAGAGGGCTAGAGGAGTTGTGCCATTGTTTGTCCGAGCTGAGGGGCGTGTGGTTTTATTTTTTCTCTACTTTCCTTGGTCTTAATCTGTAGCCTCCTATGTGGGTCATGGGTCTTTTGTTTTGGAGTATTTGTTATTTATTTCCTTCTCCATTTGTTATCAATTTTTAGAAAAAAAAAACAAAAAAGGAAAGACAAAATATAATGAACATGTACGCATCCAATTAGAACAGGGTTGTGAAAGATATGGGGAAAGTTTGTTAACAAGACACCCAAGCTAAACTTGAAGCTTGCATGAGTCGGTTTTGCAACAAGGAGGCCTAGTGGGCTGAGCTCGAGAGCAATTTGGTTATTGTGTGATAGTGATCGATCGATACAGAGCTGGTTGCTCACTCCAACCGGTAGTGCATGCTCTCGTACGTTGTCGGCTCTCTCCTTTCTTTTTTTTGATATAGGTTCTCTCCTTTCTGAGAACAACCGTACACATCATCGTAGAGCGCTAGCCTGGAAATATCACAAAGAGTTGGAAGTTGGGAAGTAATTAATGTAGTTCCCAGTGAAGTAAAAAATGAGATAATTCTTGGTGTGGATCCCATATATGAAGAGTATATTAAGTAGCCAGCTACAAAAATAAATTATTCTGTAGCCACCTCTATTTACGATAATTTTATATACTAATTTACGATAAAGTCAATACATATTTACGATAGTTGGGTTACTATAACACATGGGAATATTTACTGTAACGTTATAGTGAACCACTTAGTAAGGAGTTACTATAATCTCATAAATTAACATAGTAATTATCGTAACTTAAAATGACTATAGAATAAGTTATTTTGTAGCTAGCTCCAGTGTAGTAGTTATATATATATATATATATATATATATATATGGCTATTAGCCATGACATATGCATATATACAGTATATAGTAGCTAGTGGTAATAAAATTAATTATCTGTCAACAGAGCAAGCTAAGGTTATTACTAGCCATGCGCATGACATGACATGTACGGAAAGAGAGCATGGTGGCGTCACGTCGCAAGTCCAAATGTGTTCATGTGATCACTCCATGCCCGTCCAAGCAGGGCCTGTGCGTGTGCAGTTGTGATTGGCCAGCCGCAGGGCCGGGCAGCTAGCAGGGAGCACGTGCGAGCGTGCGCCATGGTGTCGGCACATAATCACTACAGGAAACTGGCTCTTTACCGACTGCAATTTTCTTTGCCAACTGTTTTTTTTTCGACACTCGGCAAAGAGGTCACTTTTAGCCGGAATTTCTGCGATCGGCAAAGCAGGATTTGCCGATTGCTGACTTTGCCGATCGCCGTGCGGTTGGCAAAGCCATGGATTTGCCAACGCGGCGGTTGGCAAAGAATTGCGATCGGCAAAGGCGAGGCCATGGTTGACGCCATCCACCGTCACCTTTATTTTTTGCCGACCGCCACGTCGTGATCGGCAAAGCGATGACTTTGCCAATCGCCATCCTCCCAGCGATCGGCAAAAATTTTATTTTTTGATTTTTCGATCCAGTTTTTGTGTTGCCTTGATCTGATAAGTACATGATATATTCCAAGTTTGGGATCATTTTGATTTATTTTGCTATATAAAAGTAGATTTTTACATTTCTTTGATTTTTTCCGCGACTCATTTGAGCTGCGGTACATGAAATAATGGAATCGGCCATTGAAATGATATTCATGATGTTTGGAGCATGTTGAGGCCGTGTCGCGGGGCCTCGCGTGAAATTTCACATGTGGAGATGTTGGTGTAGAAACCGAGACGCCGCACGTGAAAAAAACTTTTTAAATTTTATAAAATCGAAGCAAGTAGAAAATGATGAAAGACACGTGTCTTGTCATCGCATCGGCTATTTTGTGGTAAAAATTTGAGAAAGTTTTAGAGCAAGTGGCGGCGTCGGGTGGCTAAAACACTGGACATGTCGAGATGTCGTCAAGTTTAGAAACAAGCGGATCACACCAACATGTCCGAATTTCACGCGAGGCCCTTGCTCGACACTTTCTCAACATGCTCCAAACATCATGAATATCATTTTCGGAATCGGACTCGGATTATAAATTATTTCACACTTTTACGCGTGGCTCAGCGTGTTCAAACTGAGTCACGGTCGAAATTTCAAAGAAATGTAAAAATCAATGGAATATAGCAAATAAATCAAATGACCCCAAACTTGAATATATCAAAAGCGAAAAAATCATGGAATATAGGCAAAATGCAACTTGGAAAAAACTGGGATTGTAGCAAAAAAAAAATGGGATCAAAAATCGAAAAAACAAATTAATTTTTGCCGATCGCCATCGATGGCGATTAGCGAAGTTTTTGCCCGATCGCCAGGAGGATGGCATCAGACAAAGAATTTCGAGAAAAATCAAAATAACCTTTCTTGCATGCCCGGGAGGAGCAGAGATATCGGCAAAGTATTTTTAAAAAAAATTAAAAAAATTTTGAAAAAAAAAATAGACCTTCCGATCACACTTACGTCACATCTTTGGCGATCAAAAGGAAAAAAAATAAAAAAAAAAACGTCGCCTTATCAGCTACCGCCCTCCCCCTCCCAAAATCCCTTGGCCTTGCATCCCCAAAATCCCTCCTCCTCCTCCCAAGCCTTGCCTCCTCCCCGTGTGTGTGGCCTCCCATGGCCTCCCCTCATGAAACTGGTCCTCCGGCCACATGCCCCCCCAGCATGCGCCTAGAACATGAACTCCCCCGGCCCTTGCGCCATGTGGTGCTGTGGCCTGGGCCCCCATGTTGGTCCTCCCCACAACCCCCAGCTGTCGTCCTCCCCCCAGGCTGTAGCCTCCCCAGTCCCATGGCTGCCCTGATCCCCTGGGCCTGAAGAGGCGCCCAAAATCCCCGCGCCCCCTGTGTAACCCCGGCGCCCAGCCCTGCCTCCCATGGTGGCCCTCCCCAGCATTGGCCCTCCCCCGCCCCCCTCACTGGTACTCCCGGCCCTCCTCCTCCGGCGCGGCGCCCCCTCTTGGCAGCCATCCCCCATGCTAGCACCCCCTCCCCGCGCCCCCCCACTGGGCCACCCATGTTGTTGCCCCCCCCTCATGGTTGAGCCCCTCACGCGGCTTGCCCCCGAGAATCAGGCCACAGCGTCTGGCTCACTGGCTGCATGCTGCCTGCGCCTCTTTCCTGCCATTGTTGGCCACCCGATCCGGCGTGCCCGCTCCGTCCGGCGTCCATGGTCGCCGTCATGTTCCGTTCGTCATCGGCTGCGCCTGCGTCGCCGTCCTCGCCCTCGCCGTCCTCGCTCTCGCCTCGACCCAAATCTCGCGTGCCTCTCGCTCACGCCACCGGGTGACGCCGTCCGTGACAA